TCTCCTGTAGAGCTAGTTGTGACTATGCATGGGAGAATATACTAAGGAGAATAGTTGTAAGTCTCCACATTTCACATTTAGGAACCAACCTCTAAAACTCCTATGATTCTTTTCTGCCCACTGCTTGAAATGCCTCTTCACAGGAGATGATGGAAATTCAAAGTAGAAAGAGAGCATTTTGTGATGCCAATAGTCAGGAACACTAACAAAATTGTGATAATATTAATCTTGCCATTCTGTAACAGTCACTTTAAATGATCTGAAGTGTGTCAGGAGTTGCTGTTGGGCCAGCAGCAGCAGCACATTTCTGCAGTAGCATTCTGTGGCAACATCTGAGCTAGCAAGCCGACAAGAATAAAGATGATGAGGTTGTAAATAATGCTCTAGAACAAAATTATTCTTGGAGAATCTATACTCTGGCAACTTCTCCATCCAGGCTAAAGGAGATGAGAAAATGAGAGTAGATTGTACAGTAGACCTGCGATGAGAGAATGCTGTCTAGCCTATCAGAAATTTTCACCATTGTGTGCATTTTGCTTAAAGTGCATGACTATATTTGTAATCTGCTTTGCATATTTTGCCTTATTTCCTTATTTTAAAACCTTTTCTCATTAAAGATAATTTATGTGATCACTTATTAATTGAAAGAGTGCCAGATGTTTGCATGATGGGAGAAAAATAGTATTTTTAAGTAAAAACAAAACAAGACAGATAAACAAACCCAGATTTTAAGCCTTTATTTGTTCTATATAGTTGAGACAAAAAAAAAATCCAAGTACAAAATAAAACTAACAGAAAATTGGGTGTGGGGAGTGAACTGTGCAGTAAAAATACCTTCCGAAAACATAAAAGAGTTCTGTCAAGGAAGGCTCATTGATGCAATAGGTAGGATCTTCTTCTCCCAGTGCATTGGCACAAACCAATGGAATTAGAGTACCATGACAGTTGGCTAGCGTGAAGGATCTGATGGATCCACGAGCTCTCACTGGATGCTGTTCATCCAGGAAACGGTGCAGTCTTAGAGGCCTGACATTGGTCATATGGTGCCAGTTAGAAGGGTTTTCAAGAGGTTGTAGGACCTCTGCTAGTTTTTCATGATGCAGGGCATTGAGATGTAAGTTTTGTGATCACCAAGGAATATAGTCACTAGCTGTGGAGTCTGTCTGCTAAGCATGCCCACTAATTGCTGCTACATTTCTGCCTTCATTCACATAATTCTTTCAGTTGATAGCCAGGATCCTTTCTTAGGTTTCTATGTTTGGTTGAACCACAGCCAACATCTTGGTGACAACCATAACTTTCTTCAGCTTTGAGTTCATCTGCAGCCCACTTATTCTTCAGTGTTGCTGCTACAGGGTCTTTGGCTATCTTCTCCTTGGTTTGCTTTCTTTGGATCCTTAAGTTCAGTACACTGGTTATTGTTAGTGATGGTAGGTTTAGGATCTGATAGTTGCAAGTGCAAAACCTGGAAGGCCAAAAAAGCAACAAATGATTATTTTTATTGTAATGTCTCCTTGGCATTTGAAATAAAACTTTTTTCCTTCCCACTATTTTGGAAAGCCATTTTCATAGCCTCTTCCCAGAATTGTGAGCTGATGAAGAAAGTATGTCAATTTGGATCACTTGCATGTGGAAGCATTAAAGTTTACAGGCCACCTTGCATTCTAGAGGTCTGCATCATATGCTACCTGCTACTCTGTTACTATGCCATACATGTTTTCTGGGTTAGGATTCCCAATTTACCTAGACAGAGCTGTAGTGGCTCACACTGTAGGTTATATGCTGTTTTGTTAATTGCTGTGTTTGTTTTAACACTGGGGCATGATATAATTATAGTAGTATTTCAAAGGACATACCCTAAGTGGGGAGGGGCTGCTGCGTCCAGGTTGATGTCTGTGCCCTAACCTTGGAGAAAATACTCCTTCTGTATCTAAAGAAACAGTAAGGATGGTGGCACAAGTCAATCCAGCTATGTATGCACCATGGCTATTTATAAGGATAATGTTCTTAGAGATCTTCCACACAACTTATTCAAGAACAAAGGGAAAAAACAGGCCTGATCTACAGTGTTAGAACTGTACTAGAGTATTTTCTGTACTTGATATGCCATCTTATATTAACTACTGACATGCTCAAAGTTTGTTGCACCAGCTCTTTCCAGTAATGGCATGTATAGGGAGTAGCAGAATTTGTGTTTTATAAGTCTCAGTTTGGTATCATCTTTTGGTGCTATGCAGAATGGTTTGGAAAGGTTCTACATCCGCTACACTTCATGGTTCTGCCAAGGGATTTGTGAGAAATTTTAATGACTTTGTTACAAAAGTGGGGTTTTTTGTGAGGTTATGGAAAAACTATTATTTTTTTTAACCAGTTACATCCTATAACTCTTGACTTGGTTTCCTGTATTAATATTCCTTAAATAAACAAACAGCATGTACTCTACTGCAAAACTATAAAAAACAAATTACTTGATAAGCAGGAATCCACAGTAAGGAATTATCTTTTGGATTTTTTAAAACTTGCACTGGCCAGAACTTGATGAAGGAGTGGGGAATGGAGCAGATAGCAGCACAACACAAGGGATAGCAACTTCAACAGGGAAAAGGTTGATACTGGAGTTCTAGCAAAAGCATGCAAGACAGTTGAGTAATTAGCTTCATTTGGAGAACAGATGATGGAAGAGAGAATGTTGCTTCCTCTCCTCCCCCCACCCCCTGAGCAACTACGCTCAGAAGTAACTACTTTGAGCATGTAGAAAGAGACTGAATATGGAATGAGGGTGATCAGAACTCACATCTTCCCATCATGGCAGTTCCCAGTACTGCCAATAAAACAAGAAAGAGTTGCCTAAATATTGGCATGCATTAACAATTAATGCAAATGTACAATGCTTACCACATCCTCCTTTGTGTTATTGAGACCAAAGCGTTGCTAGAGGTGGTAGGCTGCCTGGCAACAGAACTGGACAGGGAAGTTCAGGTTGTATTAGTGCCCAACCAAACTGTCTGGTGATTCCTCCCATGGAGATTCCCCAGGTTGGCCATGACGGGCTGCTCAGTGCTAGCATCCCTTGCCAAAAGCCCATCCAGCTTCTTGTAGTATAGGTAGTGGTTTGCTCTGTACCAGATGAGCAGTTTTTGTCCCTCACTTGTTTCTACTTCTTCTTCAAGTTGTTCCCTATGCTCCATCTCCATATAGAGAGCCTCATATGCCTTCTGGTTATGGTTGTTCTCAACAAGGCTTATTGCATCTTTTATTTTCCCCACATTGTGCAAGGGGCCAAAATCTCAGCCTGTTGTCCAGTTGCAGACATGATTGAGACTATACATTTCAAAATTTCTCAGGAAGTGTTTTCATGTGTTGTCATGTGAATACTATCAATGTGTTGTTCCACCAGGCATCTGGGCAGAGAAAAAGAACCTGACCTAGGAGCAGAAGAAACCACACAGGGAAGCAAAGGGCCCAGACCAAGACAGTTTACAAAGAAATGTGGGAAGGTAGTTGGCAGACTACCAAAATAAATCTGGGCAGGCTCACATACTTGGGATACAATTACACAAAATTCTTCTGGGATAAAATGTCCTGATTTACATTTACATCCTTATATCAGTACAAGAGCTTATGTCATGTGGATGTGACTTAATTACACCACATTATAGAATTTAACCAAGATAGCCAGTTCATATAGACAAACCCTCATTCATTTCTTCCTTTGCTAATTGTGGTCCTATTCCCATTTGATGCATCCCTGGGTTTACAATTATCCATCTAGTATAAATCTATCTTATTCTCAGCAAACTGGTGAAGGAGGAAATGGTAATGACAGCAAATTGCTATGGTTGGTGTTGCAGGACTTCACCCAGCTGCTGCTGCTTCTCATTATTTTATTATTTTTAGCTCATTTCCCCACTGATTCTCTCTTCCTCTCAAACCTACAAAGCAATTAAAAACAAAAAAATCTGGTATGAATGCTTATGCAAGCACTATCCATATAAATTACCTTTTTCTTGTGAAGACTCACATAAGCAAAAGTCAATTACTTGAATGTGCTTGGAAAGCGAACGCAAAATGGGTGCTTGCCTGAGCAAAGTAAACTCATTTGTAAATTCAAGCAAATATTCAGGGAACATCATGTGCAGTATTTTTGTCCCTAACTACTAGAGCCTGGTACAGACTCAGAGAAAAAGTCAATGAAAATGACTTGCACTGACTGCTGTTGGCTTTGGACACAGCCTGTAGTAACTATAATGTAAAAACTAATGGTATGTTACTTGCTTGTCAAAACATATTACTGGGCTCAGGTGAGTGAATGAATAGAATTTTGCAAGACTGATATGAATATCAAAGGGTATAATTTCAGTAGCTGAAGTGAATGACTGCCATCTACTCCATTTAGATTGGTGAAATATCAGTTTTATGTTAATAGAAAAGCCAGGAAAAGCTAATAGAAAATGCTTTGATTAAGGTACTTGTGTGATGACTTCTCTCTCAGTGTAAAAATAGAAATAGTAAAAATAAATAAATAATATAGATTAAAATTTCTGTAACAATGTAACACATGTTAACAGCTGCTACTGTAACAGTATTTTCCACTAGTGTATTCAGAGATCGGAATGATGAGGTCTCTTTGAGGAATCCTTAGGTTACTATGCATCTCAGAGGATGATTTTCTTTATTACTGGATGAAAAGCAGGCAACATCAAGAGAAAAGATAAACACAAATCACTCAGGGTTCTTGTGAAATTATAGTATAAGAACTTGACATTCTATAACAGTTGACACTGGCTTTTCTGCAACAAATGCATTCCAGAATGCAGCTTCTCAGTTTCTTATATCATACAGTAACAAACCCCCAGGTTTACAATAAAGTACAAAGGGATCTAACACATGCTGGCCTACTGAAAGAATATAGATCAAGGATGGTGTAACTCTCCATTGCAAAACAGAATACATAGAAGAGGAATATTAATGTATAGTGGATACAGGTCTTCAACCTTTACCTTTGTGGCAGCATCGAAGCATACAAAGCCCATGCTAAAGTCAATGGTAAGCCCCATAAGATGGCTCTCCAAAACACAGGCATATGTCTTGCACTGCAAATATGAGAAAATAAAGTTAGTATACTATGTCTTATGCACTCATGTATTAGTTTCCAAAGGTTTTTTTTTTTGTCTAATGCACACATTTTCTATTGCATACAACTCAAAATTATTGTTAGAGAAGAAACCACTTATATAATGGGCCAATTTCATCCTTGACATATCACAGATCAATGGAGTTATATCAGAAATGAACTTTTCCAAAGACGATAGGAAGAGGCTATGGTTCCATTAAGGATAAACAAATCAAAATTCAACAATTTTAATGGCCTAATATGACAACTGCTAAAAGGAAAGTTTCATTCTATCCAGATACTAACTTTGATTTTAAAAGATGAAACGAATAACTTCTACAAAACTTTCATAAGTCCAGATAAAAAATAAAGTGTATGAATAATATCTGTTGAAACTCTGGATGTAAGGGGTGCTCACGTATGTTACTCCCCCCCCACCCCCCTCCCATCTCTTAAATATCAGTGTTAAAATAGGCATCTTATTTTGGTGAAATAATTCCTATAATTATAAGAGATTTTTTTTTTCCAGCTAGGAGACAGTAGCCTATGAGTAAACCTTGACACATTCAATAGCTGTCTCATTCTTTGGTTTATTTATTTATTTTAAAACATGACATTTTGGGCTATGACATGGAAAAATCAATTCTTTTCCTGTCAAACTGAATGCCCTACTTGAAACTTGGTTTCAGGTTCATAAAGGCAAAATTGCATTGTTTAACGCAAATGCTGAATTTTACTGTAAAACAGATTAAATTAAAACAAAATCTGATGCACTAAAGTGGTTTTTAAAGGCCATTTTTACAAAACTATGCATACAGGAAATTGTTAATGGGAAATTTTGCATTTCAGATTTAAGTCAGAGACTTTGCTCGATTGCTGATGATTGTAAGGAACAGCATAAAGAGTAATCTTTCTTGCTACATTCAGTTTCAACCATTCTAAAATGTACGTACTATATGCACACGGTGTCAATGGGATGAAGTATAAATAATTAACATGGGCACAATGTAAGTTACTAAATGTTCATCAGTTTTAAGACAAATATTTGTTTCATATAAAGCTTTGACTAGCAATGAGAAATAAAACAAAAGGTAGGGAAGGGTGGCACCTCAGAGAGCAATGATCTCTCATAAGCTACAGACTACTATACCCTACTGAACAAGCTAGTCTGTAACCCTGCCTTGCCTTCTACCTAACTTCAGACTAACACAACTAACTACCTCTCTCTCCTAATAAGAAATAAGTAAGAACATAATTCATATTTGTGTTTATTGACATTTATCCCATTCAATGAATGGCTTATTTTTCATATTTCTGGCTCTGCTTCATTGCAAGGTAAATTCTCAGCTCAATTGCTATTAATGGCAGTATATTTATTACTGACTCTCAAACTCTAAGACTTTTCCCTCAAAGTGAAAAAGCAAGGGAGTTTAATTGCTTATAACCTCTGCAAAACAGGTTGTGTTTAGTTAGATTCTTAAGTATCAATTCAGAAACCTATCTTGAGAAACCCCCATTTTGAAACTTGATCTTAAATATCTTTGGAAGGATAGGAACTTAGGCCAGAATTCTTAGAACTAAGAGAAATAAAGGTAAGATTTTTCAAAAGCATTCAGTGTCTTATATTTTTTGGCATTTTTAATACTCTAAATTCCATTTAGTTGTACAAAAGACACATTATTTCATCATTAACACCATATTGTATACAGTAAAATTTATACATGTACTAATACATATATAGAGAGAGTAATTGTAATCATATTTTAATAGTTCTGTAGTCATGTTGTAGCCATAATGATGCAAGAAATAAGTGAGACAAAATTTTTTTGTGAGTGATATCTTTTATTGGATCCAATGCATGGTTGGGATAGTCCTAGACTGGGGACCTGATGAAGAATGTACTTAATTGGAAAACTTGTTTATGCCTCTCTCAACCAGACCATTGGTTCAATAAAAGATATCACCCACAAAAACCCTTGCCTCTCATTGTAAACACACACATTTATATAATGGATGACTTTTTTTTTTTGAAATACAAATTAACTGACTGTTTCCTTAACACAAGGATCACAAATTACATCTTCTCTTTTTGAAGGGCTCTTCTCTGCTCTTAAGACCCCTGTTACAAATTACATAATAATGCAATTAATTAAAGTGTTGCATCATTATTTAATTGCACAATAAATTTAGACTGGCCACATGTGCAAAGACTGGCCAGACCTGCCAAGTAATTATCACACAATTAACTGGTTAATCTAGCAATAAATTTAGACCCGCCACATGTGCAAAGTAATTATCAGACATAAAAAATGACTATCCAGATATAAAAAGAGCCAACAAGCTATAAAGATAGTGCTTGAAAATGTGTAACAACTCCATAGTTAGTTTTTATCCAGCTTTAATTTGAATGTGTAGCATGGCCCCACAAGGACAAGTCGGTTATATCTGCTACTTATACTGCCTGAAACAGTTGTCATTGATGGGTTATGATTTAAAATTTGATTTCTCTGACACTTTACTGTAAGTTGGGTTTTTTTGGAAATTGAATGTTCATGTAATATCTATGCTGCTCTATCTTTGTGCTACTTTTTTGTCCCAAACAGAATCAAGTCATGACCAGTTCTAGACACACATCAAGGTTGTTGCATAAATTGTAAACAAACACCAAGGAGTTCATGTACTGAAGCTTCAGACCTCGACCACTTAAGTTCATGGAGAATTTCTATTAACATTCATTAGAGCACATTAAACTGTATATAGACATCAATCCATATATGCCAGCCACTACTGTGTTAGATAAATGATTAAGTGGTTCTTCTGTGAGTGAAAGACAAACAATTGGACCTAGACACAATCAAACCATGAAATCAAAATATGAACATGGTCTAATTCTTTACAATTATTTCTAAAATAATCTAATTCCTACACTTAACATACCTAATTGAATATGAGATGACCTTGATTATAAGACGACCTCCCCCCAATAATTAGATTTTATATATGGAAAATGTATATGTTTGTTATAAGTTTCAAGCCATAGAATCTAATTATTAGAGATTTTCCTTGAATTTGTCCCCCTTCCACTGCTACATCAGGGAAAAAAATCTGGGGGATCAGGTAGCCCCATCGTCCTCTGCCCGAACAAACTTCTTTCTCCTCAAGCCTCTTCCCTTATTCCTTCCTGTCAGACTATGCTTTCCTAGAGCACATGGAAGCAAGAAGCAAATTTGAAGAGAGTGGGTGCATCTACAATAAAGACTCGGAGTCTTCACGTGTGGCCTTATAAGGCCACAGGAATCTAACTCAGCTGTAGGTTAGTACTTGTCAACACAAGTACTCTTCTATGGCTGCATTCTTTAGTGTGCAGCAATGCACATGTAGATGTTGACGGGGCTGGCTGGGGCATAAGGATGTTTCAGTGCTGGAGCTGCCTGCTGGATAGTCTCACACTGAAACACCCTTATGTCCCAGCCAGCCCCTCTGCAGCATGTTAAGCTGCGTCAGAGTAGCCCCAGAACAGCAAATTTTAGTACAGGTACTTCATAAACACACTTTTAAGAAACACTTTTGTACCTACTTGTATATAGTATAAACTATGCATGACATTAGTCCAAAGCCGAAAGGCTCACAATTTACCATATGGCTTACCATGCTGGGCCCCAGAAGAGACAACAGCATTTCAAACCATGGTCACCTCACAGCTCAGCCATGCTCAGTATGTGTGTGTACTCCAGATACCAACCCAAGTAGGGTTTCACATAACAGTGAGGCCCCCACTGGAAGCAGGTGTTCTTGTCAACAGGCCTTAGATTCTACAAAAATATATATGAAGATGAGGTACTGGGCAACCTGGTCCACCTCTACCACATGGAATGCGGGGCCAAACTATTCATATTGGATGAGCTGAGCAGGAGACATAGGGATTCTAAGTAAAGCTATTTGGATCCCCGTTCACTAATGTTTGCTAAATATTTAAGGATGTTGAAAAAAACAAACAAACAGGACTCACTGGAAATTGGAAAGAAAGGTACAGCTCAGCTCTGGGAGTGAAGAAGGAGTTGAAATGTATTTAATGTAGTGGCTCACCATGACTTGAAAATGAGTCAGTACTGAGGGGGACTGTCCTCAACGGGCACAACAATACATCTTATTCAGATTGGCAGTACTAATCTATTCGTGTGGTAGGATTCCATTAGCATCTCAGCCTTTTTGGCTAAGATCAAATGTAGTAACGGGGGGGGGGG